GTGTGCGTGTGTGCGTGTGTGTGATAAAAACACCTAACATGAGATCTATTCTCTTAGCAAATTTTTAATATTGTCAACTATTGGCACTATGCTATATAGTAGACCTCTAGGATTTAGTCATCTTGGATAATTGAAACTACCCTTTGCATAACTTTGTACCTTTGACCGCTTCTGTCCAGCCATTAAATCTTCTAGCTTTGCTCTAGTTTCAGTTTAACCAATTGTCAATGGCTTATTTTGTGTCATGTTAACAAACAGTAAATATTTAAAAATATTAACTAGTAAGAAAGACTTAACTTGGCTTTCCTATCTTTTCTGGTCAGGCAAAGGTTTCCAGAAACCTTTCATTATTTTGGTCTCACACCTTGCAGCAAAACAGAGGGGAGAGGCATTTTATGTGGAAGCCCTTGAGGAACATTGTAATTGTTTTTTCCTTATCAGTTTTATTGGAAATGTTTAGTTTGCTTCTTGTTTTATCTACCAGCATGCCTCTAATTTGCTAGATGCTATTTATTAATTTTTTTAAAAAAAAAATTTAACATTTTTATTTATTATTTTTGAGAGACAGAGAGAGACAGAGTGTGAGCGGGGGAGGGGCAGAGAGAGAGAGGAGACAGAACCTGAAGCAGGCTCCAGGCTCTGAGCTGTCAGCACAGCCTGACATGGGGCTCGAACCCATGAACCATGAGATCGTGACCTGAGCCGAAGTCGGATGCTTAACCGACTGAGCCACCCAGATGCCCCTATTTGTTAATTTTTTAGACCACACATTTTTTATTTATCAATGACTCTTCATTACCACATCCGTTGTAAAACATTTTGAGTATTTTCAGCACCCTGTGACCATCTTCACCATCCATTCCTGCTAACGACTTTAAAATAAGCACCAGACCACAATCCTCAATAAAAACCCCAGGCCCCAAGCAAACATAAGACTCACTCTCCTTTCCTTTCCCAGTCTCCTGGACGCTTTGTCTGTATCTTCACCCTCACTCTGCCTTTAATAAATTCGGCTCTCAAAAATAAAAATAATAATGAGCACCAAAATGACCAAGACGTTTGAGAAGTGAATCCTTAATAAAGGTAATTACTAACCATGGTATGCACCTGGCCAAGCTACACGCATGGCTTGAGAGAGGAATCTCACAAAGGACCCTCATGCACTGCGTTAGGTCCAAGCTCTAAATGTTTTATCAGTAGGGGTAGAGGAGCAATAAGAGTTCTCTCCGTTTTTCTGAACCATAACCTCAGGAGAGAAGTGTTCTCACCCAGCACAAGCCAGGCTACGTCTCTGCGGTGTGGTAGTACACATGCCCTAGGGAATCAGGGCAGAGGAGAAGCCTCCTCTGAGACAACCTCACTGTCCTCATTTCCAGGAACCGTTATGGTCAGCAGAGCAGCTAATCTCACTGCCAGGAGGGATGGGAGCCAAAGGGAGCCTCAAATAACTGTGTACCAGGACATTCTGGGCTTTGAAATAGCTGCCTTCACCTCATGGGCCATTTGAAGAAATCTATACAGAACTTAAAAACAAGCTGTAATAGAATCTTACCCAGCAGAAGCAAGATTCTGCCAGACATTCTTGCTCCTTCCCTTTGTTTTTTTTTTCCCAGAGTTTCTTCCTCAGCTCAAATTTTTTCCCTCTCTAGTCACTCACTCCCCAGATAGTTTAATTCTCCTCTGGATATAATCATTATGCATAGTAGATACGAGGAAATGCACTTTCCTTAGTTATTCCACTTTCCTTAGTGCCACTGCTGGTCTCTTGGGTGGAGGGTTCCACCTCCTCTTGACACATCTAACGCACACCCATCAGCTCAACCCTCATGCTCACACTACCCCTATTTTGTTTAACGACTTTACCATCTACATAGTTCACACTACAAACCTCAGTTATCTTACTTTCTTCCTTCTCTCCATCGCGCTCCCCTCCTGCAGACACATTTTATCAGGCACCAAGTCCTGTCACTTCTGCCTGTGGAAGGTTTCTGGAATCCTGGGATTTTGCAGAAATGGGTTAGCTTCTCTCCAGACCAAAGTCTGTTTCCAATTTATCTTTCACATAGCCATTAATTATTCTTCCAGAACAAATATCCAGTTTTGCCTCTCCCCTGCTTAATATCCAGTAGTCGCCCACTGTCTGGATAAAGTTTTATTTCTTTATCAGTGTGTACACGGTTCCTCCACGTTCCTTCACCCTCAATCAAAATTCACCTTTTCTGCTGAATTCTTAGCTCACTACTTTCTGCCAAAATGACAGTCAGGTTTTCGAAGATCTTAGCCCAGAAGTGGTTTTGTAATGTGCTGTCTAGTTTGAGTTGCATGTTTACATCAACTAGAGAGTTCTCTGGAGGAAACAGAAAGTATTCCAGGGGGAGAATGGCAGGGGGTGGGGGAGGACGGTGAGGGTGATGTTGCAAATGACCAATATCCTAGAGTGGCACCATATTTTGCTTACTCTTCATGCTGGCAGTGGTAATAGCCCCAAATCACCCAGTGCCAGGGTTTGGTTCTGGAGGAAATTGTGCAGATTCCAAATATTGTTTTTTATTTAATGTTTATTTGTTTTTGAGAGAGAGAGAGAGAGACAGACAGACAGAGAATGAGCAGGGTAGGGGCTGAGAGAGGGGGAAACAGAGGATCTGAAGCGAGCTCTGTGCTGACAGCGGACAGCCCAATGTGGGGCTCAAACTCACGAACCTCGAGATTGTGACCTGAGCTGAAGTCAGACCTTAACTGACTGAGCCACCCAGGCACCCCCAGGTTCCAAATATTGTTAAAATGAAAAGATAGTCGGTAAGATTCCCATGCACTTTGGGAACCAATTCCTTTATACTGTATTTTTTAAGGTTTTCCTATAAGTTTTATTTATTTTCTGGTGAAATATCTACACCCTCTCATGGATGAAATCATTTGCACGCCTTTTATTCCTTTCTCCCCTAGCACTTCTGAGGAGGATGCACATTCAACAAATTATCATAATTTATTAAATAAAAGGGTACAAAGCACCATGAGCAAGGCATATAGAGTGCCCACAATGGAAATCCAACACGCACGTGCATGCGTGTGCACACAAATGGAACAGACCTTGAAACGTATCTGTCTTTTCTCCAACTCAAGTGACAGCTTTGTTAATTTATGACCAGCAATATAAATAGCTTCTATATAGAATTTATATGTATGCCTATTCTGTTGTTGTTTATAGCCGTCTGGTAAGAACAAGCAAACATGGGCTCTACTGATGTCAATAGGCAGAGTTGCTACAGCATATTTATTCAAAATAAGTGATTGCTGTGGGTTCTGATGTAAATAGACAAGCTACAGATACATTTATGAATTTGGATGTCTGCTTACATAAGCAATAAAGTATGGTGGCTACAAGCAGGCCACGGGGAGCCAGACTGGCTCCTGTTCCATCCTGGGTCCACTATTTACTATCTGTGTAATCTTGGACACTGCATCTGTAAAAATAAATAATCACATTAACAACCTCATAGGTTGTTATGAGGATTAAATAAGTTAATACCTGTAAAGCATGTGGCACATGTTAAGTGCCTGCCACAGGGTCAATGCTCTACAAATGTTACCTATTGGTTTTGCTCACATAAAGCAATAATATTATATTTCATAGATAAAGGTGGGGGTTTTGTCAGAGGTATACCAGGGTATGATTTACTAAGTATAGACAAGGGAGTCCAGGGATTTAATACCACATTTGTTACCATCAGGGCTGAGATTTAGTTAAAGTGTTAACTGAGAATGACAGTATTTTCAGAGTTCGAATAGGACATTTACTCTAGTATTGTTAGCATATGAAATGGTTAAAACAGTAGTAGAGTCTTCACGTAGGCAGCTTCCTGTCGACTTACTTTCAAAAAAATGCACTTCTCTAATTATATGAATATATTGTGTCCCATTTAACCAAATTGTGACAAATTAAGGGAAGAGGTGGAAGTGCCTGAAAAGCTGATGGAAGCTTTCAAAATGCAGAACACCTTAGAATATCAACAACAGTTTGTTTTTCCTTCAGACTTTGGGTTTCATTCTGGAGGCAAACAAGAGTACGGTATCTTGAATTTCTTCACTGGGTAATTTAAAACCCGGTGATATTGTGCACAGCAGCTGCACACATCATGAGTTCAGCATCAATTACAAACGAAACTGGTCATATGTTGTCCTTCATAGCTGTTACTATGTTCAAATCAAAAACCCAAGTCAACAAAATGGTATGAATATTGACGACCATAAGTCTTTTTATTAACCCTTGGGTTTGGGCTTTAAACAAACCTTCATTTTTAAATTCTTAGTTCTTATCTACCCAAATAGACTATACTTGCTAATTACATATCCAGTCCTTACTATACTCCAGTAAGTGTCCTTATGAGAAAACTATACAGAGTAGTTGCAGCTTTTAGATAATACAGCAACCTCAAGAAGAAAGTGAGGGCAGTACTGAACACTTTAAGAGTATAGAATCTATAGACCAGTGTTCTTTGTATAGCATTTACATTGACATCTAGTTTTAGGAACTAAAAACCTTGTATAACTTTAAATTGCTATTTTAGAAAGGGGAGTGGCGTTTTTCAAGGACTATGTTCCACTTGGTCTCTCTCTGATGCCAACTAACCAATATAGCCGTTCTCATTCTGCTGCTGTGGGAAACAAGCAACAACAGAAAAGTAATAATGAGTTGAAAACAATTCAGTCTTAAGCACAGCCAAGGAGATGAAAGCGAGAGTCCCAGAACACCTCTCTTCCCAGCGCTCCCGGCCCGGGGCGGAGCACTTGCCAGCCAAATGAAGTGGGAACCTTGTACCCGGCGAGGCGCTGGAGGCGGGGCCCCGGGACTGTTCCCCCCGGGAGCAGCGGAGCTGCGCTGTGGGCCCCTCCCGGATTCTAGCGGACCCCGGGCGCGGGCACTGGAGCGCGTGTGCAGTTAAAAGGCAGCTACCGAGCGGGCAGTCGAGCGGAGTGTTCGCGGGTCACCGGCTGCAGGCGCGATGAGACCGGGAGAGGAGCGGCCCTTGGAGGGGGGCGCTTGCAGCGGCGTCTCCCAGCTGGAGCTGCTGAAGCTGCGCGCCGCGGAGCGCATTGACGAGGCGGCCGAGCGCCTGGGGGCCCTGAGCCGCGCGATCTGGAGCGAGCCCGAGCTGGCCTACGAGGAGCACCGGGCCCACGGCGTGCTGACGCGCTTCTTCGAGCGCGAGCCTCCAGCTGCCTCTTGGGCAGTGCAGCCGCACTACCAGCTGGCCACGGCCTTCCGCGCAGAGTGGGAGCCGCTGGGGGTCCGTGCGGCGCGGCGCCCGCTGCAGCTGGGCTTCCTCTGCGAATACGACGCGCTGCCCGGCATCGGGCACGCCTGCGGCCACAACCTGATCGCCGAGGTCGGGGCGGCGGCCGCGCTGGGCGTGAAGGGGGCCCTGGAGGGGCTCCCCGGGCCGCCTCCGCCGGTGAAGGTGAGGTGGGGTCCTGGCGCGGGATTTTCATCGCCTGCCCAGACCGGGTCGTACCCGGGGACGGCGGGACCCGGCGCTTCCCGTGCGCACCTGCCGCCTCGGAGTCCCGGCCTCGCTTTTGCCAGAAGGCAGAACTCCTGGATCAAAGTCAGTAGTGCTTGAGGTGCCGACCCAGCGACTTTTTGCAGATTTTTGTTTCCTCTTCTGTAGTTGTAAACGATTGAGTAGACTGGCCCTAAGGAAAGAACTTAGGACCAAGCCTGGTTTTCGTTGTGATTTATTTTTGGTAACAGAATTAACTGCGATTTGCTGACGAGGTTGTGCAATCTCTGGAAGAAGTAGTTATTGTAGGGAAACCTCCAGCCCCTCTTTATTAGGCTCCAAAACCTCTTTTGTTTGTGGCAGTCATAGGAGCTGTTGTGATTCGAATCGTTGGTATTTGGATAGGAATTTTTCAGTCATTGCAACTACCAAACCTTCCCTCAAAAATTGGAGAAGTGAATGAATACTACATAGATGAGTTCATCCTTAAGTTTTAATATTTATTTCATGATATTAAGAAATTTCTCCTTTAAGTGGGGAAATGTCATTTATGCTTGTTGTAGGGCAAGTTTAATCTCGTGTTACTGTGTTTTTTCAGATGGTATTCTTCATTCTGCGAGCTAATTCAATCATCAACATTTGGCTTAATAAGGGCAAGGCTGATGTTTTATTTTCATATTCTATAGCCCATTTTTTTCCCAATGTCAGTAACTTTTCTCTTTTATCTTAACAGTTCTATCTTTTGTAGCTTTTTCTCTTTAGCTGCCTTCTCTTTTCAGCTTCTGGCGGCTTGTTTTTTGCATCTGGGTAGGTTTTTGTTTTGGGGGGGCGGGTCCTTTGCTATTGCATGAAACACGGGAGAGATTTAATTTTAACCAGACTTATGAAAGTTTCAGAGACGTCAGCAAGATTTAACTTGAAGTCATCAAATTTAAGGAGTCAAGGGTTCAGAGTAGAAAGCAGGTTCAATTATGAGTTCGAGTGCTTTGTAACTTCCAAAGAAGGCTCGACTTTGGGAAACGTACACCTTTGAATGGTAATGCACAGTTTTAGCAAGGTTATCAGTCCTCTCTTAAAATGGAATTTATGTTGATTCCCTTAACAAGCCAAGACTTTTTCCAATTTGTTTCATTGTATTCCTGTATATGATCTTGAAAGTGTATTAGTTGTTTATAATTTTTCTTTGCTTTTAAAAATTGTTTGAAGAAGTTAAGCTTAAATATCAAAGTAAAATGTTTATTCTGTAAAGTTCTCTTTTGTTTAATTAGGTGTTTGGTGACCAGTAAATCTGCCTGGTTGAACTGGTGGAATCGAATTAGTAAGTTTGTGTAATAGTCGGCTGTTTCTAACTGTGGTGTTAAGGTTTATTTAATGTTCTTTATAAAGGTTTAATGAGTTAAGATCTTTTAATGAGTTAGCTCAGTAAGGAATCAAGAGTTCAGGTCTGAGGATCAGAACATCTAATCCTTGCTCTGCCTGGAGACTTGCAGTGTGTCCTGGGACAAAACACTTCACTCCATGCCTCAAAACCACCATCTCTGACATCCCTGAAATGATGACATATACTGCTCACCTACCTCACAGGGTTGTTGTGGGGATAACTAATAAGCAACTGGAACGTTCCTAACCAGTAAAGTGTTTATGAATAATTATATACATTACTAAAAGACTTAGTCAAGAAGAAGCTTTAAGAAATAAGTCCTAAAGAATTTTGAGGAATTAATTCAGTATATAGTATTTATCTTTTTTCATCTTTGCCTTTAGTTATATAAAATTGAGTTATAAAATTAGGAAAAGTTTCCTGGTGCAGCTTTAGTGCATACTTTGTGCCAAATTGGTATAACACTGTAAATTTAAATGTGTAGTTAACTTAGCACCGTAGATTTATGCCCACTGCATTATTTAAGTGTCAGAGAACAACACCTCTCTCCATAGTTCAAGGACTTTAATGTAGGTTGTGAATACCTATGCAAGGGAACCTGTTTGATATTTTCCTGCGAGGATTTTGTTGTTGTTGTTTTGCTCTGACACAGGTATATCCTTCTAGGTAGTTGTCCTGGGAACGCCTGCAGAAGAAGATGGTGGTGGCAAAATTGATTTAATTGAAGCAGGGGCTTTTAAAAATCTTGATGTTGTTTTTATGGCCCACCCATCCCAAGAGAATGCTGCTTATTTACCTGATGTGGCTGAACATGAGTGAGTAATCAAGTTGAAATAAGCTCCTTAGTGGAAAAGACTATTAAGATATTTCTGTGTCCTAACTGGAGACTAAAACCCGGTACTTATATATTGAAAAGTAAGTTGAAAAATGATGATGTGATGCCTTACTTGATTTCCATTGAATAACATTTGGTAAGCCTCTTCTATTTGAGATGGTGTTTGTAATTGGACTATTAACCTAGTGCACGGGGCACCTGGGTGGCTGAGTCGGTTAAGTGTCCTGACTCTTGATTTTGGCTCGGGTCATGATCTCATGGTCGTGACACTGAGCTCCGCATCAGGCTCCAGGCTGAGTGTGGACCCTGCTTGGGATTCTCTCTGCCCCTCCCCTGTGTACATGCACACTCTCTCTCAAAATAGATAAACACTAAAAAAATAGTTCCTAAAAAGCATTAAGACTAGCAAACAGAATATGTTGACGCTTGTATTCTATTCTGAACTATCTGAGAGCAATTAGGTTTCTAGAAAACATCTATCCTTTGACATGGGTTGTCTTTGCAATTGAATAGATTTGTAAGAGGCAGCTTTATTAGGGGCACCTGGGTGGCTCAGTCGGTTGAGCATCCGACTTCGGTTCAGGTCATGATCTCACAGTCGTGGGTTTCAACCCCCCGTCAGGCTCTGTGCTGACAGCTCAGAGCCCAGAGCCGGCTTCAGAATCTATGGCTCCCTCTCTCACTCTTTGTCCTTCCCCTGCTCATGCTCTGTCTCTTCTCTCTCTCAAAAATAAATAAACATTAAAAAAAAAAAAGAGGCAGCTTTATTAGACTTGGGAAGAAAACACACTTCTCTAGTTTACTTCTTGTAATTTGAGTTCTTTGCAAAGAGGGTAAATTATATTTCTGAGAGAAAAGACAGAAACTAGCTGTGGATTTTAGTGGAATTTGCATCTGTACTCTTCTGATTTGTCCGGTGCCGAAACATTTTATTTAGTTTCCTGTATGTGGAAGAGCTCACTTTTTTGGATCGCTGAAGTGGATTGAAGTTTGCACACCAGAAGTTTCAGTCACAGTAGTTAATGGGCCAGTCACCGGGCCAGTCTCCAGGAGCCACTGTTGATCTGCTTCGGGAAAACCACATGTTCTCCTCTGTGGGAGCTAGGGAGTGATAAAACCATTGCAGCTGCGCTTCTAGGTGGTACTCACGTATCTTCCAGCTCAGAATGACCCGAGGCCTTGTTTTCACAGGATGACCATTTTAATCTTCCTTCTTATCACCAAGAGTTGATGCTGTGGCAGCAGGAAGAATCTTTCAACTTTGGTTTTGGGGGTAGTGCATACTGGAACACCTGCAGAGGATCTTAGAGGTTAGAAGTCTCTGCCAAGGCCTCTGGCTAGAAGAGGCCTGCAGCTGTAGGCTTACCAGCCCGTTAGCCTTCTAGGACTTCGAGTTGGGCTTCTTGGCCTTGATCCATCAGCCCAGTTGGCCTCAGGCCTTTTCTTAGTCTCTGGCTTCTTAGAGTTTTCATTGGCCATCTGTTAAGATGGAAAAGGGAACAAGAATACAAACTAATTTTTGAAAATATTATGATCTTTTCATCCTAAAAATCTCCAACAATAAGTAAGATAAAACACTATGTTCATATTGACCACCTTTCCTGCATCTTGTCCCTTCTTGAGAGGCATGTATCCTTCCAGGACTTTTTTTTTTAACGTTTTATTTATTTTTGAGACAGAGAGAGACAGAGCATGAACAGGGGAGGGTCAGAGAGAGGGAGACACAGAATCTGAAATAGGCTCCAGGCTCCGAGCCATCAGTCCAGAGCCTGACGCGGGGCTCGAACTCACGGACTGCGAGATCGTGACCTGAGCTGAAGTCGGATGCTTAACCGACTGAGCCACCCAGGCGCCCCCTTCCAGGACTTTTTGAGCATAGTTATAAACCTAAATAGGTACATATATAAATTGAATTTTAAGGGAGGATTCTTTTTTCCCCCTTAAATATTCTGCTAAATATATTGTTGGTCTGGCTCTTCCTTTTGATTTTTTTAAGTTTATTTATTTATTTTGAGAGACAGAGAGGGAGTACCAGTGGGTGCATGTGCAGGGTAGGGGCAGAGAGAGAGAATAATCCCAAGCAGGCTCCACACTCAGCACAGAGCCTGAAGCAGGACTCAATCCCACTAACTGTGAGATCATGGATACTCAGTGGACTGAGCCACCCAGGCACCCCCCCCGTCAGTTTGTTTAAAATACACTTTTTGTCTTATTTTTCCTTTCCTTTTCCTATGTTCATCTGTTTTGTTTCTTAAATACCACATGAGTGAAATCATATATTTGTCTTTGACTTATTTCGCTTAGCATAATACATTCTAGTTCTATTCACGTTGTTGCAAATGGCAAGGTTTTATTCTTTTTGATTGCCAAGTAATATTCCATACTTTGGCTATTGTTGATAGCACTGCTGTAAACATTGGGGTGCTTTGAATCATCATTTTGTATCGTTTGGGTAAACACCTAATAGTGCAGTTGCTGGGCCATAGGGTAGTTCTATTTTTAATTCAAAAAAATTTTTTAATGTTTTATTTATTTTTGAGCGATAGAGACAGAGCACGAGTGGGGGAGGGGCAGGGAGAAGAGACACCGAATCTGAAGCAGGCTTCAGGCTCTGAGGTGTCAGCACAGAGCCCGATGAGGGGCTTGAACTCACAAACCGTGAGATCATGACCTGAGCAGAAGTTAGATGCTTAACTGAGCCACCCAGGAGCCCCTATTTTTAATTTTTTGAGGAACCTCCATACGTTCTTCAGAGTGGCTGTACAGTTTGCATTCCCACCAACGGTGCAAAGTGTTCCCCTTTTTCTGCATTCTTGCCAATGTCTGTTGTTTCCTAGCCATTCTGACAGGTGCAAAGTAGTATCTCATTGTGGTTTTGATTTGTATTTCCTTGATGATGAGTGATGTAGAGTATCTTTTCAGGTGTCTTTTAGTATCTGGATGTCTTCTTAGGAAAAGTGTCTATTCCTGTCTTTTGCCTATTTCTTGACTGGATTATTTATTTTTTGGGTGTTGAGTTTGATAAGCCTTTTTAACAGATTTTGGATACTAACCCTTTATCTGATATGTCATTTGCAAATGTCTTCTCCCATTTTGTCCATTGCCTTTCAGTTTTGTTGATTGTTTCCTTCACTGTGCAGAAGGCTTTTATCTTGATGAAGTCCCAATAGTTCATTTTTGCTTTTGTTTTCCTTGCCTCCAGAGACCTGTCAAGTAAGAAGTTGCTGTGGCCAGGGTCAAAGAAGTTGTTGCATGTTTTCTCCTCAAGGAGTTTGATGGTTTCCCATCTCACATGTGGGTCTTTCATCGATTTTGAGTTTATTTTTGTGAATGGTGTAAGAAAGTGGTCCGGGTTCATTCTTCTGCATGTCACTGTCCAGTTTTCCCAGCACCATTTGCTAAAGAAACTGTCTTTTTCTCATTGGATATTCTTGCTTACTTTGTCAGAAATTAGTTGGTCATACGTTTGTGGATCCATATCTGGGTTTTCTATTCTGTTCCATTGATTATGTGCCTGTTTTCATGCCAGTACCATACCGTCTTGATGATTACAGCTTTGTGTAAAACAGCTTGAAGTCCAGAATTGTGATGCCTCCAGCTTTGATTTTCTTTTTCAACATTACTTTGGCTATTCAGGGTCTATTCTGGTTCTATACAAATTTTAGGATTGTTCTAGCTCTGTGAAGAATGCTGGTGTTATTTTAATAGGGATTGCATTGCACGTGCAGATTGCTTTGGGTAGTATCAACATTTTAACAACATTTGTTCTTCAAGTCCATGGGCATAGAATGTTGTCTTTTCCATTTCTTCGTGTCTTCTTCAATTTCTTTCATAAGCTTTCTATAGTTTTTCAGCATACAGATCTTTTACCTCTTTGGTTAGGTTTATTCTTAGGTATGTTATGGTTTTTTGTAGAATTGTAGATGGGATTCGTTCCTTGATTTCTCTTCATGCTGCTTCATTATTGACATACAGAAACGCAACCGGTTTCTGTATGTTGATTTTATATCCTGCAACTTTGCTGAATTCATGTATCCGTTCTAGCAGTTTTTTGGTGGAGTCTTTCGGGTTTTCCGCGTAGAGGATCATGTCGTCTGTGAAGAGTGAAAGTTTGACTTCTTTGCCAATTTGGATGCCTTTTATTTCTTTTTGTTGTCTGATTGCTGAGGCTAGGACTTCCAGTACTGTGTCGAATAACAGTAGTGAGAGTGGACATCCTGTCATGTTCCTGACCTTAGGGGGAAAGCTTTCAGTTTTTCCCCATTGAGGATGATATTAGCTGTGGGTCTTTCTTATATGGCCTTTATGGTGTCAAGATATGTTCACTCTATCCCTTTCTTGAGGGTTTTTATCAAGAAAGGATGCTGTATTTTGTCAAATGCTTTTTTTTTTTGCATCTATTGAGAGGATCATATGGTTCTTATTCTTTCTTTTATTAATGTGGTATATCACGTTGATTGATTTGCAAATATTGAACAGGCCCTGCAGCCCAGGAATAAATCCCACTTGATCATGATAAATAATTGTTTTAATGTACTGTTGAATTTGGTTGCTAGATCTTGTTGAGAATTTTTGCATCTGGGTTCATCAGGGATGTTGGCCTATAATTCTTCTTAGGGGGATCTTTGGTTTTGGAATCAAGGTAATGCTGTCTTCATAGAATGAGTTTGGAAACTTTCCTTCCATTTCTGTTTTTTGGAACATTTTGAGAAGAATAGGTGTTAACTTTTCTTTAAATGTCTGGTAGAATTCCCCTGGGAAGCCATCTGGGCCAGCATTCTTGTTTGTTGGGAGATTTTTGATAACTGATTCAATTTCTTTGCTGGTTATGGGCCTGTTCAAATTTCCCATTTCTTCCTGTTTCAGTTTTGGTAGTGTGTGAGTTTCTAGGAATTCGTCCATTTCTTCCAGATTGCCCAGTTTGTTGGCATACAATTTTTCATAGTATTTCTTATAATTGTATTTTTGTGGTGTTGATTGTGATCTCTCCTCTTTCATTTGTGATTTTATTTATTTGGGTCCTTTCCTTTTTCTTTTATGATAAAGCTGGCCAGGAGTTTATCAGTTTTATTTATTCTTTCAAAGAACCAGCTCTTAGTTTCATTGATCTGTTCTACTGGTTTTTTTTGTTTGTTTGTTTGTTTGTTTCTATATTGTTTATTTCTGCTCTAATCTTTCTTATTTCCCTCCTTCTGCTGGCTTTGTGTTTTATTTGCTGTTCCTTTTCTAGCGCCTTTAGGTGCCTTTAGGAGTGAGGTTAGATTGTGTATTTGGGACCTTTCTTGCTTCTTGAGATAGGCCTGAATTGCAATATACTTTACTCTTAGAGGGAGACAAACCATAAGAGACTCTTAAATACAGAGAACAAACAGGGCTACTGGAGGGGAAGGGGGTTGGGAGGATGGGCTAAATGGGTGATGGGCCTTAAGGAGGGCACTTGTGATGAGTACTGGTGTTGTATGTAAGTGATAAATCACTAAATTCTACTCCTGAAACTAATACTACATTGTATGTTAATTAACATGAATTTAAATTACTAAAATAAATAAAAAGTAAAATATGCTCTCTAAAATGTTTTAAAATACACTAAAAATACTAATGCTGAAAAAAATAACCATTAACACTTATTTTCCTATAGTTAGTTGTATGTTAATTATACTTAGATTTGAACCCTGAAAGAAATGGTGCTAGAGCCATTTTCATAAAGGTCATCCTCTTCCATTTTATATTTATCACCAGTTTTGTTAAAATTCCAGTTTCAAGGTGATGGTGATAAGATATATATCAAGGAACTAACAAATATCCTAAAATCTTAAAAATATATTTGGATGCTTTTAACTTGTTTTTATTTTGCCAGCAGAATGTTTTGAATTCATCAAGGAATATGAGCATGCCAAGGATTCTTGAATCTAGTTTGTTAAAAAAAAAAAAAACTAAGTCTAGAATAGCTTTTTGGTAATTTAAATGTGGGTACTATTACTTAGGCTTAAAAAGTGTTGCCTAGGGGCGCCTGGGTGGCACAGTCGGTTAAGCATCCGACTTC